ATCTTGTCATCAATGGGAGCCACGTGCACCTTCTCCCGAATATCATCATTCCTAATCTTATCTATCATAGTGTGCCCGCACATCCACCGCAATATCCTCATTTATGCTACTTTCATCTTCTGGATATGTGAGTTTTTAACGGGCCAACACTCAGCCCCATATATCATGGCTGGTCTAACCACCGCTTTATAGAACTTACCTTTGAGTATCGGTGGCACTCTCTTGTCACACAGGACTCCAGATACTAACCTCCACTTCATCCATCCTACCCTAATATGGTGGGTGACATCTTTGTCGATCTCCCCTCCCCCCTGGATAACCGAACCAAGGTACTTGAAGCTGCCTCTACTCGGGATGACCTGTGAATCAAGCCTCACATCCACGCCCACTTCCCCTGGCTCAGCGCTGAACTTACACTCCAGGTATTTCGTCTTCGTCCTGCTCAGCTTGAAACCCTTAGACTCAATAGCCTGTCTCCAAACCTCCAGCCTCTCGTTAACACCGGCTCGCGACTCATCAATCAGAACTATGTCATCGGCAAATAGCATACACCATGGCACATCCCTTTGAATATGGTGTGTTAATGCGTCCTTCACCAGGGCGAATAAGAACGGACTTAGCGCAGAACCTTGGTGTAACCCCATTACAATCGGAAAATACTCAGAGTCGCCTCCTACTGTCCTAACCCAAGTCTTAGCCCCATCATACATGTCCTTAATCGCCATAATATAGGGAACCGACACACCTTTTACCTCCAGGCATCTCCAGAGAACTTCTTTAGAAACCTTGTCATATGCTTTCTCTAGGTCAATAAACACCATGTGTAGATCCTTTTTCCTCTCTCTGTACAGTTCCACCAACCTTCTAACAAGGTGTATAGCTTCTGTAGTCGAACGACCCGGCATAAACCTGAACTGGTTGTCGGATACAGACATTGTCATCCTCACCCTCGCTTCAACCACCCTCTCCCACACTTTCATGGTATGACTCAGTAATTTGATACCCCTATAATTGTTACAACTCCGGATATCACCTTTGTTCTTATACAATGGAACCACCGTACTCCACCTCCACTCATTCGGCATCCTCTTCGCCTTAAAAATAATATTAAACAACCTAGTCAATCACTCCAAACCTGCTCTCCCCACACACTTCCAAAATTTTACCGAAATCTCGTCTGGCCCGGTCGCTCTGCCCCTACTCATCTTACGCATAGCTCCCACGACCTCCTCAACCTCGATACGCCTGCAGTACCCAAAGTCACGGTGACTCTCGGAATGCTCCAATCAGCCAACTTAGTACATTATTCAAAATAAACCTAACACAATATGTTCCACCTTTGTCTTGTAGAAATTGGGTTTCCAAAAAATGGGGAGGAAGTGCAAACCTCAAAGCTTGATTTAGACTGGGCTGCTTACAAGCTTCCTTTGCCAAATCATGGGACACTTGGTTTGCTTGCCTAAAGCTATGCCTGACCACCACCTTCTCCGCTGGAACATCAGTCACCTACATTTACATATAATAACTGTGATGACCCAAAATATCATCTTTAAATTTAATAATTAATTATGTGATCTAAGCACTATTTACCATTACTCGACTTGCGTGTGCAGTCCGTAAAAAATTTTCGAAAAGTTTTCAGGTGAAAAATGAATTAAAATGTGAATTAGAGCTTTAAAACTCAACTGAGTTGAAGTTGGTCAACATTTTGAGCAAATGAACTCGGATCAGTATTTTGATAGTTTTGGTAGGTCCCTATCGTGATTTGGGACTTCGGCGTATGCCCGGAATCAAATTCCGAGGTCCCTAGCCCGAGAGATGGAATTTTGATAAAAAATTAAAAGTTTAAGTTCAAATAGTGACCGGATGTCAAATTATATGCAAACGACCCCAGAATAGAATTTTGATGATTCCAACAGCTCCGTATGATGATTTTGGACTTAGGAGCGCGATCGAAATTTTATTTGGAAGTCCGTAGTGGAATTAGGCTTGAAATGCAGAAAGTTGAATTTTTGGGAAGTTTGACCGAGGGGTTGACTTTTTGATATCGGGGTCAAATCCGATTCTAAATATTTTCATAGCTCACTTATGTCATTTATGACTTGTGTGCAAAATTTGAAGTCATTCCGAATTGATTTGATGTATTTCGACACAAGATATAGAATTTGAAAGTT